AGTTAAGCAATAAAATTCGAGCCGTTTTCGTCTTTGTCCTCGCTTTTCAGGAGGGGTTCGAGGGAGCCCTCCTTCGAGGCTGACGGAAAGGCACCCCGGCGAAGGTACTCGTTGTAGATCTCCACCTCACGGTAGCCGAAAAGGACCTAGGGAAGCTACGTCAAAGACGATGTCAGCATTAATAATTTAACACTACAAAGATTCATTCACAATGTGGCTCGGAATAGTACTCGTATTCGCTCCGCCAACACAGGCAAGCATGGAGGGGGGTACCCACAACAAAACGTCAATGACTAATGGACTAGGTAGCAAGAGTCTCGACCGTTCAACCGACCGGTTTGACCGTCATGTTAATTTCAGAATGACAGAAGGCTTCTCGCCACTGGAGTTACAGAAGAGATTGACTCGAAGGGATCGGTTGGTAGGCCACAGATTGTACCAAACGCCTTAAGAGCCCGCGGATGAGGTCATTTCTAAGAAGATCATAAGATCGTTGATTGGGACGTGTTATGACCGTCAAGTCCACCTTGGCCCTTCAGTACGGTCATGCGTTGTCCACCAATGGGTGAACAAGATTTCCCTCCACACCCGCCATGCGCCCGATGGTGGTAGCTGTAGTGCGTTATACCCCTTTCTACCACAGATAATAATTGTCAGTTATGGAGGGGGCTCGTTGATGACCCCCTCCCTTCGGATCTTGATGGTCCTTCCCATTTAGGATACGACGAAAAAAAAATTAAAAACTGCGTTACATTCGCTATTTTCGGGTTCCTCGCTCGCGTTTTGGGGCCTCATGAGCAACCACTGCCAAATACTGCCCATTACGCATTACATATCACTCGTCCGAGCGAGAATATACATTTTGATTACCTTCCACGGAATTCAATATTAATGCTATGCAGCGGTTAAAATCATTGTCCCAACTTTGGTGGTGGACGTCGTTAAGACTAACCGTCAAACGTTTTCCTAGCTATTTATTTGGCTCTCCTGCGGGAATAAGCTGGATTCTATGGTCCTGTCCCGCATTACACGTAGTCTCATCCTTGTAGTAAGTCAGCTATGCCTTCCCATTTGTGGAAGCTCAATTACATTTAAATAAAATCTTCAAAAAGTACCAATGTCATCGACACTTTCATGCTGATGTCCTTCTGTTTCGTGATTCTCTTAATGTATTACTTTTTCCGGACAAGGACCTCTATCTACCCTTTTGAAGATCGACGTATTTATCGTTCAAATTTCTTATTTAATTCAACTAATTTTCTTTTTAGTCTGCGTGCTTCTTTTCTATCGTATGAATGATTTCTCTTCTTAGATTTCTTCATAATTTCGAAATTTTAGGAAGAAAAACTATGTAAAGATAGTGGCGAGATCATACGGAGGAAGGAGTACTACATTGTAATCTCAACGAATGGGGTGTGAAATGTAATATCGATTGATAAAATTATAAAAATAATTCATTTACAATTCCACTTCACATGCGAATAAACTGGAATCCTTCATAATACGATAAAGATGAGCGCCAAAAATATCGCACGTTCGAATTAATTACCAAACGAAATTGAAAAAACACTTCTTTAACATCTTTCTGCGAATTTCCAAAGGAAAATTAACAATTTTCAGCATCTCCAGCATTACTCCTCTTGAACGAGTCTTCGATTTGAAAATTATTTTATTAGAATTCCACTCTACAGGGGAAGCACGATTACCGTTACCTTCGAGAACTATGCGATTGTCGAAGAGAGTCACTTGCAATTAAAATTTCAACACGCAGTCAAGCACATAATCTTCAAAAGCTGCGTCGTTTAAGTCTTCATACTTTATACGTGCTAATTCATGGACACCCCACTTTTAATCGATTTAAATAAAGGGGTAGGTTCTCAATTAGACTACAGGATATATCTTTTTTTGAGTATGTTTATTTCAACCTGTTCTGTGACCTCTATGTTTTGTTTACCAACGTTTTTGTTCACCAATATTTTTGTTCATCGTCTGTTTTGTGATATCACGTGACACTACCTGACAAGAGAACATTCCCAAGTGTCCGCCTCCGATCTTATTGAGTTTCGTATATGTTGAAGAACACAAAAATCTAAGAGACACGTGTTTTTTTTTTATAACTGCACTGGTCCACAATTAAGGGGTGAAACAACGCCCCAAAGTTTTGCGAAAAATCGGTTTTTTAAATATTTTTAGCAGTGGAGGGATTTCGACGAAACTTTGCATAAACGTATTCTGTATAAGGACGGTGACAACACAATATTGTTCAGCAATGTTGCACCCCCTCAAGGGGGTGAACTCCCCTTCAGGTGACATTTTTTTGTAATATCCATTAAACAAGCACTCCTACTTAAGTTCCACTTACGCGATGTGATTGCTCGCAAAAAATTAAGAAACACGTGTTTTTTGCTTTTTGCCAATAAACATTTACACATCAGTTGTAAACAATGAATGTAGGTGGTATTAGGGTATATACCGACTATCTTTATTGGGTTATATCGTGACCAATTCATCGTACATAAGTCGTGTCAACGTGGTAATTCTTCAAAATGTCGTTGATTTTCATAACATGCAATTATTTATAATTAAATTAAAAAATAGTTTCAGAGGCTAAAATTGTTTCGCAACGGATTCGACGATGCAGTCATCACCCGTTTCCAACTAGTAATACAATCTCCGTGGTGAAAAGATAAAATTGGATCTTCACTGTTTTTACGAAAAAATAGAGTCAGCGATATTCGATACCTAAGGTACGGGAATAGTACGTTGAATCAAATCAAATTTGGAATCGTTTACGCCGACGTGCGTTCTTATAAAGTCTGCACTGGATTCGATGCTGATCAGTTCTGATTAGGACTTCATCCTTGTGAAATTATTTTGTCGACGTGTTACGATATATTTGTGCGTAATGATTATAAATCCTATAAACATGATCAACCTTTTGTTAGCTACGTTTCAAACTATGTATTTAATGGAGACGGAAGTTAATCGACAAGAAATTCTGTTAAAAGAATCTATTCAAACGATTCTTTTGGATAGTATATTTAAAGCATAATTGCATAATCAGTTGTCTTGTCCTAGATATAAAAGCCTGTTTCAATATGCATGGTATAAAAGCGGTTATATCGATGAAAGATTAGAAAACTTCCCGAACCCAGTTAATTTTGTCTTTGAAAGCTGTTCATGAAATGTAATGTTTGTGGTGCAGCAGCAATGATACGGTGTTCGTGGTGCAAAAAAGCAATTTGTATAAAGCACTTTTTCCACGAATACCACTACTGTAATAAATATGATCCGTAATATTAAATAATCTCCTGCTTTATAGAAAGATGTAAAAAATATTCTCTTATAACTTCCTGTTGATTAATTTCAGAATTAATATTTATACGCACACTCTTCTTGAATGTACTATTCTCGTACCTAAGGTATCGAATATCGCTGACTCTATTTTTTCGTAAAAACAATGTAAATCCAATTTTATCGTTTCACCACGGAGATTGTGTTACTAGTTGGAAACGGGTGATGACTGCATCGTCGAATCCGTTGCGAAACAATTTTAGCCTCTGAAACTATTTTTTAATTTATTTATAAATAATTGCATGTTATGAAAATCAATGACATTTTGAAGAATTACCACGTTGACACGACTTATGTACGATGAATTGGTCACGATATAACCCAATAAAGGTAGTCGGGATATACCCTAATACCACCTACATTCATTGTTTACAACCGATGTGTAAATGTTTATTGGCAAAAAGCAAAAAACACGTATTTCTTAATTTTTTGCGAGCAATCACATCGCGTAAGTGGAACTTAAGTAGGAGTGCTTGTTTAATGGATATTACAAAAAAATGTCACCTGAAGGGTAGTTCACCCCCTTGAGGGGGTGCAACATTGCTGAACAATATTGTGTTGTCACCGTCCTTATACAGAATACGTTTATACAAAGTTTCGTCGAAATCCCTCCACTGCTCCTACGAAAAATATTTAAAAAACCGATTTTTCGCTAAACTTTAGGGGGTTGTTTCACCCCTTAATTGTGGACCATTGCAGATATAAAAATACACGTGTCTCTTAGATTTTTGTGTTCTTCAACATATATGAAACTCAATAAGATCGGAGGCGGACACTTGGGAATGTTCCCTTGTGAGTGCAAACTGCTCATGTACGTGACCAGATGACCCCAATCACGGCACATGTACTGTTAACCGTCCAGGATTTCCATGGTTCTACCATCAAATTTCATAATCAGATCCTGTCGAAATTTACACTAGGACCGCCAAGAAAGCATTTTTTTCAAACAAAAAAACGAACCATTCAGGCAGGTCTACGCATTATCAAATGACGAAAAAATAACTAAAAAATAGGGGGGTATCAGCTGGGGGGGCCCCCCCAGCTGAAATTGAATTCCGCTCCCTTTTTAAAGTCAATTAAAAACCAGCATGGCATCGTGCATCTTGCTGTCAAAAACCTACCTAAGCCAGCAATTATATTACTACACTCGTAACAGTGTTTTCCTCCTGCCTCAAAACAACGCGATATGTTGTTAGAAAATAAATATCAACAAACTTGCTTTTGTGGTGTCGACGTTGAAGTTAGGAAAACTTAACTTTCTTTTCCTAGTGCTAGCGTTCAGTTTTCCCAATTTCAGCGAGCGAAAACAATGTTATGAGGCGGATTATATCGTTTTTACCTCAGCTGGCGTTTTGACGGTTTGACGCACAAATTTTACCCTGCATCTCTTTTCAAAACTAACGCCAGGGTCTTTCACGTGACCCGTTTGCCACTAAAATTGAGCATTGATTGCGTTATGGGCGTGTTCTAGAATTTAAGTACATGTCACGAAGTCTCAAATTTACGTTCTGAGATGGCAACAATCGCTTTCGGTGACAATACGACGGAACAAACAGTTTAAACGATTCTCTCTGTAATCATTCTACAAATTACATGCAGTACAACGTGCAAGAATCATCAATTGAAATGAATTTCCGACTACTTACCGATACAACTCGTTTGTAAATCTGTGCTGGTCCGGTGCATTCGGAGTATGGATACTCGCTGGTAGCCATTTCCAACATACACATGCCAAAGGCGTAAACGTCCACTGACTCGTCGTAATGTTCCTCGTACATTTCAGGAGCCATAAATTCTGGAGTCCCTATTACGCTCTTTGCAAAACTGCGATTTTTTAATGTAGCCAGGCCCAAATCGCCAATTTTTACACTACCAGTCGTTCCAGTGATAAAAATATTGTCACACTTCAGATCACGGTGAATGATAGGCGGTGATCTGGAGTGTAAGAAGCTGAGGCCTTTTAAAATTTGTCGACACCACGATTTCACTACTTTCGGATTGATCTTCTTAAAGCGCCTGAGGTACCTGTCGCAAACATCACCTTATTCATAAATGTATCAATAACAATATGCAATAGAAAAACTGCTAAAACCTAATTGTAGTTTCATAAATAGTATTTTAAAGGATGATGCATATTGAATCAATGTCTCCATATAAGCGGCAAAAAGTTAATAATTTACAGTATAAAATTAATGTTCTGAGTAACATTAAAAGCATTATCTTGAATATCATTCCTTTCAAACTGACACTAGAAATATTGTGAAAATCATTTAACTAATCAGATTGAAAATTATTTTAGTCATTTTATAAGCAATTTCCTTTCTCGTATAATAGAACTTCTTGTTTGCGGCTTTTAGTTTTTTGTTCTAAGTAAAAAAAAATACTCCAAAAAAATGTTATAAATTCAGATGTCCGCCATTAGGTCTTATGTTATTATTAAACATTCTAGCACCCAAACAGCAATAAATTTCCTATGGGTATTAAAGAAATATTCAAACAATGAAATTCAACAGTTGCAGAATATCTGCTAATGATCATACAATATCTTTAGAATCTCGTATATATGTGGAAAGAATCAATTGCTGATATGAAATGAATATTTCACTAATATTTTACATACATTCTTCTTTGCATATAATATATAATTATATTTTTATTTTGCGTAACGTACGCTTCATTACATGATTACAATACAAATACATTTCAAACAAGTTTTGGTGTTTAAGGGCACCCTCCCGTCAAAACGCTCGACAAATAAGTTCTTCTCATAAATCGATAAAAAAACTAAAGAATATAAGGTAAAAACGCTCTAAGTAATTTAGCAGTACATGTTTAATTAAGTAAAAGAATAACTCTATATTGAGTTAATACATTTTCCCCAAAAATATATAATTATATTCATTATATCACTATAGAAATTATATCTCTTGACGGACATCGACAGGATTCGTAACAAGATAATGTGAAATCAAAAATAAAACATTTTTTTAAAATACATATACATATATGGTTCTATTCAAACGATTCTTTTGGATAGTATATTTAAAGCATAATTGCATAATCAGTTGTCTTGTCCTAGATATAAAAGCCTGTTTCAATATGCATGGTATAAAAGCGGTTATATCGATGAAAGATTAGAAAACTTCCCGAACCCAGTTAATTTTGTCTTTGAAAGCTGTTCATGAAATGTAATGTTTGTGGTGCAGCAGCAATGATACGGTGTTCGTGGTGCAAAAAAGCAATTTGTATAAAGCACTTTTTCCACGAATACCACTACTGTAATAAATATGATCCGTAATATTAAATAATCTCCTGCTTTATAGAAAGATGTAAAAAATATTCTCTTATAACTTCCTGTTGATTAATTTCAGAATTAATATTTATACGCACACTCTTCTTGAATGTACTATTCTCGTACCTAAGGTATCGAATATCGCTGACTCT